ATAAGTGCTTGCCATGGCTAGTGGACAAAAAGGCACAACAATGTTTATCCTCATTAGTTCTTTTGACATATAAGGGAGTATCCTTCTTCATTGCACATATTTATACATTTTCATTTAAATATTTGAATAAATGGTCATTTTATACCTTGTTTTTGTTGTAGATAAACACAAACCCATGAATCTAAGCTCATGGGAATTATTCAAGATAAATTATGAGAGTAATGGCTTAACAGGTATGGATGGATGAACATTGCTTATTTGGCGAAGTGAGGTATTTGTGCCAGCTAAGCTTGGAGTTGGCAAGGTTACCTGACTTCACCATAAAAGGTTGGGTGGCAAAGATATGAAGGCAAAGCTTGATCCCAAAATTATACCATTTGACGTTAACTAAAAGACCTAGAATCTCATTAAAAACTAACCAGAGATGCTATTTCAATGCCCATTAGCCAGTTGCAGCTGTATTTAATGTAAAGGTGGTTGCACAAGTTCCATTGTATTGGAAACTGTTAAAAAGGGTGGCTGCACAAGTTCCACTACACTAGAAACTATTGAAAAAGATTACATTTTGCTTGGAAAATCTACCAAAATCCTAGGTAGATTTGATTTTTGCTGGTTGTATTCAAATACCCCCCAAAAATGATACTTTATATGGCTAGAAGAATTATCAGAAATGAGTAGTTTCTAATAAACTAGCAGTCTCTTGTTGGAACTAGCATTTTTTGTTGGAACCACTACATAATTCACAATATCACCTTTTAAAAAGCTGTTAGCAGTACCTAGAATCACTCAAAACTTTACAATTGTCTTCCTTAAACCCAAATCTAACTGTTGGGTTACTGGGCCCATCAACTTAAAAATTACAAAAATGCCACTATATATATATTATTTTCCCTCCATTTCTGAGCCAATTTTAGCAGATTTCAACAGACTTCATAGATCCAACTACCTCTTCATGCACCAGTCCTCCATTTTTCCCTTGAAAAACTTTTCATCTTTAACCTCTCACCCTATACACATAAATAATACCTAGAAATCACCATTTGTATTAAATTTCCTACACTTCCAACACTACAAATACTTTCCAAACCTACAGAACGTCATGGTTGGGAGACAGTATGCTGTAATTTCATATTCTAGGTTATTTTCTTGAGCATCAAAGGAATAAGCAAAAAGGTTAGCATCAAGAACAAGATCAAGTCCTCCATTCAAAAGCCCCCACAATGGTCATCCTTCCTTGTCCCATCACTACTTTTAAGTTTATTCCTTTTGTTCTTGAGAAGGCTTGAAGGGAATCATTGTGCTTTTCACCTACAACGTGAGGGTTGCTCGTTATAGAGTAGGAGTATTTGTCAATGATAATATAGGGCACATTCATTCTTTTTACTGTTATGCTACAATATAATAATATATAAATGTACTTCTCAAGTTGTAGTCTTTAATCCTTATATAGTTTCTATCCTTGTTGCTTTTATCACAATGTAGACCTTATTTTCATTATTTTTGGTAGTTGTGTAATTATTTTTGGTTCTTGAAACTCCATCGTTGCCCGGCTCTCTCGACGTGGCTGGAAAACTTATACATTCAGACTTTGTTAGGGAATTTGTTGATGAACATCATTGCTAGATAGAGTGAGATGGCGTGTGGCACATAGCTCCTTGCATGTTGTTGAGGGATGAATTTGTATTGCTTCAAAGTTGACCACGTGTGTAGCGCCACATCAATGATGGCCCACATGATCTGGTTTCCACATCAGACATGCTGTTTTTATTTTCTGTTGATCATTGCAACAGAGTTAACATTGCCAGGAGTGGCATTCATCCATTTTGTTGGAAACATTGTAGACATAACTCACTCCAACATCTGTTTCTATATACACGGCCAGACGTGGCTACATTTATCTGCATAACATGGCTAGGCATTTTTGACGGTCATGTTCTTTATGGCAATATTCTCCATTACATATTTTGGCTTCCAACGATAGACAAAGGGTTTGATTTGCTATCTTATTCAGCCTCCAACAATGGGCAAAAGGCTATACATTTCTACACATCTTCATTACACTAGCTCCCGGCAATGGACAAAGGGCGGATCTTTACATATTCTATTTCACTAGCTCCCAAAAATGGACAAAGAGTCAACACAACTTGATACGATTAACGTGAGGTTAGTAATAGTTGCAACCCTTTGATTGGACAGGATGGCTATCCTCTAGCGATAAAACTCATCAAGTAATGGCTGGCGGTCCTTTGGTGGTCACTTGTGCATGGTGATGCGGTGCTCAGTGGGTAACAACAACTAGGTTCACCCTTTAACGGTGCAAGTACAGCAAAAAGGGCCAACATTTGTCAGTGGTATCACACCTTATCGTATTGCAAGCCATGGATATGGCTAGGGTCCCCCTTCCATGGAGACAACTCCACCTTTCTCTATCACATATTCATCATTATGGTGGAGTTTGGCTTAGTGAGATTTACCATTTCACAACTTGATGGATTAGTGGAAGTGCTCTTTCGATTCCACATAGTTCACACTTCAACCATGGGCAAAGCTAGCCACTATTGTCCCTCTGGCTATAGGTAAGCTATTCATGGCTAACCCTGCAATATTTACATGGTTGACGACCATACACATCATTATTTTCTCACACAAAGGGACAAAATTATTGGTCACTGGTAATCTCGACTCATAATATATATCTTTTATGCTTAATGTGTTAGTAGGTATCGCCGACTAACAATGCTTGGCTCGGGACAACAATATTGCAACGCATATCTGTATCACTTATTCTTTGTCTTAGTGCCATGCCAGCCATATAAAGCAGCAATATACAAGTGTTTGCCATGGCTAACAAACAAAAGGGTGTGGTGAGCATTCATCCACATTGCCTTCTTTTAATACATAAGGGAGTGCCTTTCTTCATTGCGCATAGCAATACATTTTGCACTTAAATATTTAAATATATACTCATTTGTATCTTGCTTCTATTACAGATAAACACAAGCTCATGAATCCAAGCTCATGGGAATTATTCGGGATGAACTATTGGAGTGGTGGCTTGGCAAGCATGGATGGGTGAATGTTGCCCATCTGGCAAAGCAAGGTATTTGCGCTAGCAAAGCAAGGTATTTGCACTAGCAAAGCTTGGTATTGGCAATGTTACCAAACTTCGCCAGAGAGGGTTAGGTGGCCAAGACGTGGAAGTGGAATTGATCCTAAAATTGTACAATCTGATGCTAACTAGAAGCTCAAAACCTTATTAAAAACTAACCAAAAGATGCTATTTTAGTCTCCATCAGCAAGTTGCAACTGTATTTAATGCAAAGGTGGCTGCACAAGTTACACACTATGTTGGGAACTGTTGAAAAAGATTGCATTTTGCTTGGAGAGTTTTCCAAAATCCTAGGTAGATTTTATGTTTGCCAGCTACACTCAAGTATCCTCCCAAAAATGACATTTCATATGGCTGAAGGAATTACCGAAAATAGGCAGTTTCCAGTCCAATGGATGATTCATAATACCACTGCTAGAAAGCTGTTAGTAGTGCCCAAAGCCACTAAAAGCTTGACAGCTCACTTAGATCTACCTGATAACCATTGTACACCTCTAGCCCATCAACCCAAAAATCTCAAAAATGCCATTTCATATGTATATATTATTCTTCGTTCATTTTTCAACATACAAGGACAGTATTTACAGATCTAACTCTCTTTTCTCACACACAAAACCTCCATTTTTCCTCTAAAAAATTCTTCATCTTCAACCTTTCACCTCATACACCGAAACCATCTAGGAACTACCAACCTCTTCATATTCATATTTTCAGCACTTCTAGCATTGTAGGACAATTTATAGATTTGTAAAGTATTATGGTTGGGAGATAGCATACTATAGTTTCAGCTTCTAGGTGATTTTTCTTGAGCATTAGAGGATCAAGTTGCAAGGTTAGCATTAGGCTTTGGATCAAGCACTCCGTTCACAAGCCTCTTTAGTGGTCATCCTTCTTTCTCCCATCACCACTTTCAAGTTTTTTCCTTTTATTCTTGAAGGAGCTTCAATAGGGGGATTACTGTATTTTCTATTTACAATATGAGGGTTGCTCGTTGTAGAGTGAAGATATTTACCAGAGATGGTAGAGGTCACATTTATTGTCATTATTATTTTATCACAATATTTTATGTATAAATGTGATTCTCAAGTTATAATCCTTGATCCTCACATATTTTTTGTTCTTGCTGCTTTTGTTATGATGTTTACTTTCTCTTCACTCTTTTGGTAGTTGTGTAATCATTCCCAGTTCTTGGAATTTCATCGTCTTTGCTCAGCCCTCTTCTTCTTAGTTTGGCTAGAAAATTTATGTTTATCAACTTTGCTAGAGAATTTGTTGCTGACCATCATCGTGAAGTAAAACGAGATGGCTTGTGGCATGTAGCTTCTAGCATGTGAAACAAGTGCTACCAAAAGGACCTTCCTCTCTTTTTTTGCCAGGTGGCATCCAAGTTAGCCTCCACATCATCTTCACTACTGACTCATCATCCTGCATCACTGACACACCTTAACACATGTGAAGCAGGTGCTAGCCAAAAGGACCTTCCTCACTTCTTGCAGGTGGCATCCTAGTCAGTTTCCACATCACCTTCATTGCTGAATCATCAACCCACGTCACATGCACACCTCAACAACATCAAAATAACTCAAGTAGAGGCTTCAATAAGAGGGAGCAACTCACACAAAGGAAGAAAAACCCCCTAAGGGAAACAATCCAACATTGTTATTCATCTTTCCTAGCCGTCGAGGAGGATGGAAA